GGGCCCAAGGACTTGGGCCATCCTCCACTGCACTCCCTGGCCACAGCAGAGAGCTGGCCTGGAAGAGGGGCAACCGGGACAGAATCCGGTGCCCCGACCGGGACTAGAACCCGGTGTGCCGGCACCGCAAGGCGGAGGATTAGCCTAGTGAGCAGCGGCGCCAGGATAGACCTACTTTTTACAAAACTGCCAAAGAGTTTGGCATTTACAGGACAAAAGCATGCTCACAGGTTAAAACAAAAGAGAAGGAACAAACACTAGCAAGTAGTTGATGTGGAGTATGATGAGCAGGACGAAAGAACAGGGTCAAGCGGACTGGTTCCCTTGGAAAAGAGGAGGGGCTGCAGCTTCTTTTGTGGCAGGTGGAAAGAAGGGAAGAATTAAGTACTCCTGTAAGTCAGTTTGGTGAGTGGGAATAGGTGGGAGAACGGGCAAGTCGAGGGAGTTCAGGTTAAGAGTTTCCTGTTTTTCTCACACAACCAGAACAGAATCTTATCAGCCTCCTTCTACAACTGTCAATACAAATCTGAAGGAATTACATTTGGGGAACAATTTAAGAAATATTTCTGATAGTATGACATATTAGGGTATGCTTTTCTAGCGTTACAGTCATTCTCTAGCTTTCTTCTGGTCAGTCTTGAACTTTGTCACTTTTCCTCCACATACGAATACTACCAGATTCATTCTTCCCTCATCTATCCATCATTTACTCAGCAAACACCGATACAATGTCTACTCTACAGTCAAAGAAGTGAGAGCACTGACCACAGGCTCTCACTGAATTCCATGTATTAGCATAGAATAGCCCCATATTCAGCATATTCTAATACCTGCATGCAGTGTTTTAAAAAGATCTTATGACCCTGCTCTGTAAAGAAATATTACATGTCAATTAAAATATGTATTGACAGGGGCTGACACTGTGGTATAGCAGGTTAATCTGCCACCTGCAATGCCACTGGCACCCCACATGGGTGCTGATTCGAGTCCTGGCTGCTCCACTTATGATCCAGCTCCCTGCTAATGTGCATGGGAAAGCAGCAGCAGATGGCCCACATACCTGGGCCCCTGCCACCCACTGGGAGAGGTGGATGGAGTTCCTGGCTCCTGGCTTTGGCCTGATACAGCCCTGGCAGCCCTGGCTGTTGCAGCCATTTGGGGAGTGAACTAGCAGAAGGAAGCACTCTTTCCCTCTCTCTTGCTATCTTGGTAACTCTTTCAAGTAAATAAATCTTTAAAAAAAATATGTATTGAAACATACCTTCACTTGAAAGTCTAAAAAAGTGCTGTTCAATAGAATTTTCTATGATAAACTGTTCTGTGTAATGTTAACATGGTGCCAATGGCCACTCTGAGATCAAATTTTAATAGTCATAATTGCTTTAAGTAGCACTCTGAACTCTGAACTCTGGCAAAAAAATGTCCTACATGAAGGACCTCGGTGGGTGAGACCCCAGTGGAAAGAAGTGATCATCAAAGGAGGTATTTTTCTCTGAAGGGAGGAGAGAACTTCCACTTTGCTTATGACCTGGTCTAAGTACTGACAAAGTTTGTGGATTTAAAAGGCTTCCATAGCCTAGGCAGCTCATGTCAAGAGTCTCAGGTGATCACTGACATCATACATAAGAGTGTTAATTGTTAAATTAACAGGAGTCACTGTGCACTAACTTCCCTGCAGGACCTCTGTCCTAATAGAGTTATACTATAATTATGCCTAAGTGTTTGCAAAACAGGTATCATTCTTGGGTGTTTCTTTAAAGTTAATTTTCTAAAAAAAAAAAAAAAAGAAAAGAAAAAAAAAAAGAAGAAGTGAAATTAACTTCAAGATGCAAATGACTTTGAATAGCCCTGGACTCTTGAGGAACAGTGCCCCTCCCCCCCACCTCATGCAAACTGAACTCTTTATTTAGTATAGAGTTGGTCTTCTATGTATAAAGTTAATTGAAAATGGATCTTAGTGAAGAATGGGACTGGGAATGGAAGAGGGAGGAGGAGGAGGGGTGGGAGTGTGGATGGGAAGGGAGGGTATGGTGGGAAGAATCACTATATTCCTAAAGTTGTACTTCAGAAATGCATGAAGTTTGTATTCCTTAAATAAGAGTCTTCTTTGGGAAAAAATTTTTAATAGTCACATGTGGTAATGGCTACCAGACAGCTCTACATATCAGAGTATGGTGAGTAGCTAATGACATTTCTACTATTATAATAAAGGGGTCATCTCTAATGAGTTACTACATCTGTGCTGCTGAAAAGAGTACACTATGAATAATATTAACTGTACCAGAACGACACCATGTGAAGATTTTCTTAGCATAGAATAGCTTACACATTGTGAACTGAAAAAGGAAAAAGGGAAAAGATATTCTAACTTTTTTTCACTTTATTTTTCCAAAGGAAAAATAACACCCACCTGATTTTTCCATCCTGTAAAGCAGTGAAAATACTTATCACAATAAGAAGTCAAACCTTTCCTTTTAATTAAAAACAGATTACTAGAGCATAGAAGTTTCTGTAATAAAATAACTTTTTTTTGGCAAGACAACCTAAATAGTTGAAAAATCAAGATTCATATGAATAACATATGCTTGTAACTCTAAACAATCTGTCCTTGTGATTCGCTGATCAATTTTTCCAAATCTGTCCCATTTAGCTAAATTTTAAAATAAACCCCTAATTGGGACGGGTGCTGTAGTAGTAGTAGGTTAAGCCTCCTGCCTGAGGCACTGGTATCCCATATGGACACAGGTTCGAGTCCTGGCTGCTCCACTTCCGATCCAACTCTCTGCTTATGGCCTGGGAAAGCAGTAGAAGATGGCCCAAGTCCTTGGGCCCTTGCACCCATGTGGGGGACCTGGAAGAAGCTCCCGGCTCCTGGCTTTGGATCAGCCCAGCTCTGGCAGTTGTGGCCATCTGGGGACTGAACCAGTGGATAAAAGACCTATCTCTCTCTCTCTGTCTCTCTCTCCTACTCTCCCACCCTCTCCCTAGCTATTAACTCTGCTTCTCAAATAAATAATATTTTAAAATAAAATAAACCCCTAACTAAAAAACATGGTGATTCAATCCATTCAGCAAATGGAATTATAATTTTAACTAGATTTTAGTTAAATAATTCTTGGGGTAGTAACTAGAATGAGTGCTTATGACTAGGATAGTAATATGTTTTCGTTACTCTGCATATCCAATATCCTTAATGTATAATTTAAATGACTACACAAACTTAAGCAGAGATACAAAGTCCTACATTAGCACGGGTCTGATTACATACTTAGAAGATCTGATAACTTAAAAGTAAATCCAGTGAGTTGAGCAAGTAAATGTCAGATAGCATTTTTTATGCGCAACAACTTGTTCAACTTGTTAACCATCCCTGTAAGACAACTGCCTTGTTAATTAACCACACAACTTCTAGTTCTGCCTCTTAGTTACGTTCTGTTTGAAGCCATTTTTGAAAACACTGCCAGATTTTGTGTCTTGAAGATGACAGTGGTTATACAACCAGGATTTTTTTCGGGCTAACAAAAACCTAACACTGAGAAACAGTGTCTTAGTCTACTGGGAAGGGCTGTAAGACAACCAAATTGGAATGATTTTCCTAACAATACAAACATCATCAGGTGAATAAGCCTTCTACATAATATGTAGAGCTAACAAACCAAATACATGAGATCAGATGTGTAATAATTAACTTGCAGAGTCAAATTACAGTGCTATGGCTTATTGCAACAAAGCCAAAGTATTACAACAATCTGGTATTATAATGACATCATTAGTTTGGTTTCCTAATAAAGCATATATCTGGAATATCTGAATTTACAATGAGCTAAAAATAGAAAGCCAACATTTGTGTCTGAGGGAGTGGTAAGTAGTTCTAATTTTGTTTGCAAGATTTTGGAGGTGGGGTGGAGAATGATGCCCACTGCAAAATGAAGTAAGAGAAAGCTAACTCTGCAACATCATAGAGTCTTAATATTAAAACGCGCTTCTAGAACAAGGAAAAAGCGGCATAGATGCTTCAGTCTTACCAAAATAGTTCTCCTTCACTGAGACCACTGCCTTTAGCATCACTAAACCAAAGCACTGAATCGCAGAAGTACTTAACGCGATTCGGAAACCAAGCAGTAGCACACCTCCCCATACAGATCAGGTCAGGCTTCTTGAGCCAGGGGCAAAGTCTGTCCTAACTGTTCTCGCTGCCTTCCTTAGTGCTGTCGTCTCTGGCCTGTAGTTGCCAGGAGGCATGAAAGAGTTTGTTTTTCCCTCTGAGTTAATTCTGGGAAAAGTAGGGCTTTATGCTTTCAATCACCCTTTCCTCAGATTCCCCTTTGGCCTCCAGGTGTTCCAGTAAACCTGCCTCTTTCCAAATGCCCCTGAGCAGAACGGGTGAAACGTGCGGGTCCCGTTCCCAAAGTTTCACCGGCGCTGCGGTGGGCAGTAAACCGCAGCCCTACTACCTTTTCCCAAAGTCGACGCGGAGTTGGAAGATTGGCCTTCTTTCCCCCATCCAGACCCTCGGTAAAAAATTCCTTTCTCCGAGATCTGTCAGACTGGACAGGGTACCCGGCTCGGCGATCGCCGAAGACAGCCCTCCTCCTCCTCCTCCCTTCACCCAGACGCGTCCCAAATGCGGAGGCAGGAAACGCACGCCTCTCTCAGCTCCCTCACCCAGCCGCCTCCGAGGGGCTCCCCGACCCCCTGGGGACCCTCGCTTCTGGCCGCAGCTGCCCAGGAGCTGCCAAGAGGAGGAGGAGGAGGAGGAGGAAGTAACCAAGAAGCGCCGGCAGGGAGCGGTTCATCAGCGCCGCTGTCCGCCGCCCGGGCTCGCAGGCTGCGCGCGGGGCTTCTCCGGCTTCGGGGCCCGCGCCCGCCTCCGCCGCGGCCTAGCCCAGCGCCCGCGCCCCGGCCTCGCGGCTCGGCGGCGCCGGCCTGTCCCAGCCACCCGGGGCCAAGAGGCCGCGCAGAGTCGGACCGCCCGGAGGTGGAGGAGCGGAGGCACCTACCAGCTGCTGCCGGACCCAGCGCCACATGCCCCCGCCGTCGCCGTCCGGGTCCCGCGGGGCGCGGGGGCCACGGGGCTGCAGGTGGAGGCCGACGAGCCGTGGGGGGGTTGGGGGGTGGGAGCGGGCGAGCCCCTCCTGCTGAAGTTCCGCTCGCCGCCGCCGCCGCCACCTCACTCCCCGCGCCGGGTCCCCATCCTGCCGCGCCGGCCCCGAGGTCCTACAGGCGCGGTCCCGGCGTCGCCCCCGCCCGGCGCTGCCGAGTCTGCCGCCGCGCCGCAGCCACCTTCATTATTGACCGTTGTCACCCGAAGCACCCCCTCCACCCCACCCCCGCCCTGCCCGGCTCCCCGGCCCCACCCGGGCCCGCCCCCGGCGCCCCGGCCCGGCCCCGGACGTGACGAAAGGGGGGCACGGGCCGAGCCGGGCCTGCTCCGAGCCCGGGCGGGCCGTGCGGGCGGGGGCTGCAACGTGGGAAGGGGTCGGGTCTCGGGCACGGCCTGGGTCCCGCGCTCCCGCGGTGTGCGGGGAGCTCCTGTGGCGTCTGGGGGGTTCCGCCTGTCTCCCGAGCCTGCAGCTCGCGGCCGACTTCTCGGTCGCTACCTCCTGTTGCCGGTCTGGTCCTGGCTCTCCGCCTGCTTCGGTCCACGCGGCCGCCAACACGCAGACGCACAGTCTGGAGTGTGCGCGACTGAAGGTTAATCCCCAGAAGTCCCGGTTTGGGTTGGCTTTTACCTTCTCAGAGCCGGAGGTGGTGCCCCCCTCGAACTCAGCCCATTTCTTTAGCGAGGGATGGGATGATTTTGGAAGGCTTGCAGTTCCCCTTGTCCCGGTTCGACCTGGACCGGTCGGTGTTTGTAGGAGAAAGGACGAGATATTCTGCCTTGCTGCGCTAACTTGGACAGGTTACGGGAGAAAATACTTTGTCGTTAACTGCCAAACCCCTGAAATCAAAAACACCTTAGAAGAAGTAGCTTGACCTAGGTTAAGTGTGTGGATGAGGAGATAACGTAAAAGCAGGTGGCACAAGGCTTTGAAGGTCTGGCTTTGTTCAAAACCAGCTCCCTGTATACATCCTGTTATGAATATGTATTATGTGCGGTGTTTTTATTGAATTAAAGCACCCTTCACCAACAGACAGACGCTTGTGGTGTAAAAAAAAAAATGTAGCAGAAACAGACATCTAAATGAGATTTGCATGACTGGGCAAGACATTGCATGTGTGTACTCGGTCTTGTCGTTTCAGTAGATATTCAGTATTATGTAATGCTTATCCAACACCACAACTAGAGCCTTTTTTGAGGGAAACTGATGACTTATAATACACCTGGTGGAATTTTGTGTTATGAGCTCCCAGCTTCAAAAACAGCTAGATACAAGTATTTAAAATGAGAAAGTAATCTTACTTTTGTTCTTATGATTGAACCTTACTTTATAATCCTAAAATGAAGTTTGAGGTTCTTCCTTGGTGGAGCACTGTATATCCCAGGCCCTTTGTCAAACATTTGCAAGCTCTGATTTAGCACCCAGCAATTCTTCCTATTATATGGGTGCAGAATGGAGGCTCACTTTAAATAATTTGGCAAAGCTGGGTTTCTCTTGAACTGTCAGGAAATAGAGTTCATGCAATATTAACAAACCAAAATAATGACCATGTTACCTTATTCACATGCAAATGGTTGGATTACAAATTGGATCTGAAAATTTTTATTTATATGCCACTAAAATTTGTCAAGATAACATAAGAAGTAGCAGTCCAGAGGACACTTTGTGCGTCATTATTTAACTATGTCCCAAATTTTGGAAGATAGCAAGTGGGAGGAGTTGACTCTTAAGTGCTATGAAAAGATAGGGTAAAAAATTATCTCAAGATAGCCATGTAAATATCATGATTGAATATCAAACTTTCAGGAGCAGAATGAGCAGTCCAAGCAGTATTTGGTTCTAAGTATTTTTCAAGAGCAATATTACACACTTCATAGTAATGACAGGAGCGTGAGATGGGGAGTATTTTTATACTGTGGTTATAACCTGTAAGTGGTGGTTAAGTCCACTTAATGTGTCATGATCAGTAGTTTTTAAAACTAGAGTAGAAAACAGCATACACTGCACATTGTAATATATTGTTTTGTGAAATTTTGGGTTCAGGTGTGTGTGTATGCACACACATGCGCATGTGCACAGTATAGAAGGAATTTCTTTCTATTGGCTGTGGCTGGAAACGTTTGAGGAATTTTGAGAATGGAACATGCAGGACTTAAAAAGGCAAATACCAGCTGTAAAAGAAAGGGGGGAAAGAATGATAGAAGGCAATATTCATTCATTTATTCCCTGCTATTTCTTACATGTTTCAAGCATCAAAAGTATGCATAACAACTGCCTGAAACTAGCAGGATGGAGGGCCCCCTTCTCTTTGAGTGGAATTCACAGTCAAGCTGGAAAGAGGAAGTACATAACCATCTAATACAGTGTATAATAAAGAATTATTCTGACAGTAGTCACTCATTGTAGAAAACTGATGCCGGCGATAGCAGTTGGGCAGGGCTTCAGAACAGAGCTGAGCTTGACATGGGAGGCTGAAGGGAGGCAGAACAAACAGATGTTTGTGGCCCAGCAAGTGTGGAGTCGTGAGAGGTGGGGTTGGGAAGGGAAGTCATAGAAAGGGGGAATTTCTAGCTGCTCACAGAATTCACAGGAAATAAATCATTCCTGGAGTTTTCTAAACAAGGAAATGGCAGGACAAAATCAGAGCCATAATTCACAGACACTGTGTGATAGGCTGGAGAGAAGAAAGGTCAGGCGGGAAATTCTGCAACAGCGCAACAAGAGTTGAAAAGTGCTGGCCTGGGAAAGAGCCAGAAGTGACTGCATGTTATTGGAATAGGAAGTTGTGTGTGATGGATGACAAAGAAACCTGAAACTTCAGCCATTCCAAATGAGGTGACAGATGCTCCAAGAAAGTAAATTTACCAGCATCATATAACAGCCACTGAATTCATGGTAAATATGGTTGTGTTCATGTGCGAACTTGTTAATATGATTCTGTGCTAGTTATACTTGTGAGACGTGTTCATTCCCAGGAAAAACACATCTCCAAGTTCCATGTAATAGTGATTCTGAGGTATAACACAGACAAAACAAAGAGTGTGAGTTTTCTTGATCTTGGACCGCCAATAGCACAGACTGTCACTTGTTAAGGTCTCAATTCACAGCTCATTCATTTTGGTGCTCACAGTGTCTAAAAAGTGCTTCCTAAATGTGAGATGAATGAGGAAGTCAAGGCCAGTGAGTGAAACCTGATCTAGTTAGGAATACCAGTGATGCAGAGCAGAGCATACAGACTGCTGGATCCACAACTGTATGCAGTGAGACCAGGGGTCACCACCTGTTAGATCCAGGGGACTCTGTTGCATGCCTGCCAGGCGACTTTAAGGGCCGGTCTGCTGGGAGAACACAGAGATTGGCCAATCTCTTGCTTTGCAACAGATTTCTGTAGCCATGGAGCTCTCAGAACAGGCCCCAGAAACTGCTCTGTCTTAGTTTTTAAAGGGGCAACTATCCACTTCCTCAAAAGTTGTTAGTGGATTACAAATGATTCCACTTAAAAGTCATTTCTTTCTGACAATATTCCAAGAGATGAGCATTGTGGTGCAATGAGCTAAGCTGCTGTTTGTGACACCAGCATCCCATGTTGGCACTGGTTCTAGTCCCATCTGTTCCACTTCCATTTCAGCTCCCTGATGGTGCTCCCAGGAAAGCAGCAGCAGATGTCCCAACTGCTTGGACCCTCGCCACCCGTGTGGGAAACCAGAATGGAGTTTCAGGCTCCTGGCTTTGGCCTTGCTCAGCCCTAGCCATTGCAGCCACTGGGGAAGGAAGATCTCTCCCTCTCTCTTTTTCGATGTCCATGTATCACTCTGTGTTTCCAGTAAACAAATATGGAAATCTTATTTTTTAAAAGGCAAGCCAAAAAAATTGTAATCCCAGGATTTTCAGACTAAACTTTAGGCTTTTTCTAGTACTGAACAGGACTATGTATTTTATCCTCTTGTGAAGAATTTCATTAGGAAAAATATCACATTACATATTTTCATCTGTTCTTGAAAATCCATCGAGCAGATGCCAGTGTGGGCTAAGTTATATGAACTGTGTTTTTTTCATTGGGTTATTTATGCTTACAGAGAAGTGAAACTCAAAGCCACTGTGAAAAATCAGAGTCTGTTAAAATGATCTCATTCTTGAAAGGTAAAAAGGATGGAAAATATAAATGTGTTCTGTACATCGCTAGGTTTATTTTTAAAATTTTTATTTTTATTTGTTTGAATGGAATAAAAACAGAGACAAGACAGAGAGTTCTTCCATCTACTGCTTCACTCCCCAAATGCCCACAACAGCCTGGCCTGGGCCATGCCAAAGCCAGGAGTCTGGAACTCACTCAGGGTCTCCTAGGAACCCAAGTGCTTGAGGCATCATGTACTCCCCCCTCCCAGGGTGCACACTTCTCAGGAAGCTGGACTTGAGGCAGAGGAGCTGGAACTCAAAACCAGCACTCTGACAGGGGGTAGGCGGTGCAGGTGTCCCAGGCGACACTTTAACCTGCCGTGCTACAATTCTCACCCCCGTTTCCTCAATTTTTATAAAACAGCATTCACCCTTTCCCTGGTTCTCATGACCACTCATGCAAATGAACATGCTATAAATTGCCCATGCGACTGCTTAGCGCGTATTAGCAGGAATGCTCAGCTGGGGGAGTACTGTTTATGGAGGATTTCCTGAAGTCCATGCACGTGAAAGAAAAATCATTAGAACTCTTTGGTTGTTTTTTTTTTTTTGGCTCTTCCTGTGATCGCTTTTACTGAACTGCAGTTTGGGAGCACACAGCTTAGGTCTAGGGACAGAGAAGCAGGGTCAGGAGCCCTACAACCATGTCTGCTGGGGAGAAGCGAGCGGCTGAGACCAGGGCTCACTCGCACGTTGTGGCCTCTTACCAAAGCCAGCTCTACATTTAACTGTGCTTCTCTTGAGCAACTAGTTTGTTTTATAATCTTGTGGGCATTTCGAATTATGTAACTGAATATGCTTCCTTTCGTGTTTGTGTTGGTTGTTTAAAAAGGCAGAGGCTTACATATATCAAGTTCCCAGACCCTGTGATAATTATCTGATTAATTACTTTTACTCCAACTTTTTCATTTGCCTATTCTTAGTTTCCTTTTGGCTGGTTACTCTTTTAATTGTTTTTAATTTATTTGAGAGGTAGAGCGAGAAAGCCCTCTCATCCATTGGTTCATTCCCCAAATGCCTGCAATGGCCCAGATTGGGCCAAAACTCAGAGCCAGGAACTCAGGCCAGATCTCCCACGTGGGTGGCAGGAACCCAATTACTTGAGCCATCACAGCTCCCAATGTCTGCATTAGCAGGAAACTGGAGTTAGGAGCTGAAGCCAGGCGTCATACCTGGGTACTCCAACATAAGTGGGCATCTTAACAAATAGGCCAAGTACCTGCTCCTACTTACTCTTTATATCTTTATAAAAATATCTTTATATATATAATTTATATATTTTTAAAAAGATTTATTTATTGAAGGGCAGAGTGACAGAGAGAAAAAGATCATCCATCCACTAGTTTATTCCCCAGATGGCTGCAACAACCAAAACTGGGCCAGGCAAAAGTCAGGAGCCAGGAACTCCATCCGGGTCCCCCATATGGGTGGCAGGAATTCAAGTACTTGAGCCATCATCCATTTCTTCCCAGGCACATTAGCAGGGAGCTGGATGGAAGTAGAGTAACAGGGACTCAAACCAGCACTCCAAAATGGTTGCAGGCAACCCAAGCAGTGGCTCAACCCATTGTGCTATAATGCGACCCTCACTCCTCTTTATTTATATATACTATATATATATATATGTGTGTGTGTGTGTGTGTGTATAATATATAATGTGTGTATGTATATTTTCTAAATCACCTTGAATATTTTTTAAATAGAAGAAATAAAGGGGGCTGGTGCTGTAGCGCAGCGGGTTAACTCCCTGGCGTCCTATATGGGCGCCGATTTGAGTTCTGGGTACTCCACTTCCAATCCAGCTCTCTGCTATGGCCTGGGAAAGCAGTAGAAGATGACCCAAGTCCTTGGGCCCCTGCACCCACATGGGAGACCTGTAAGAAGCTCCTGGCTCCTGGCTTTGGATCAGCGCAGCTCCAGCCGTTGTGGCCAATTGGGGAGTGAACCATTGGATGGAAGACTTCTCTCTGCCTCTCTTCTCTCTGTGTAACTCTGACTTTCAGATTGATAAATAAATCTTTAACAAAAAAAAAAAAAAAGAAATAAAGGAAAGCATATGACATGTCACTTATGATTACAAAGTTAGTTTTAAGGGGCTGGCTTTGTGGTGTAGCAGGTAAAGCCACTGCCTGCAGTGCTGGCATCCTATATGTGTGCCAGTTTGAGTCCCAGTTGTTCCACTTCTAATTCAGCTCCCTGTTAATGCACTTGGGAAAATCGTTGGAGGATGGCTCAAGCGCTTGCGCCCCTGTATTCATGTGGGAGAGCTGGAAGAAGCTCCCGGCTCCTGACTTTGGCCTGGCTCTTCCCTGGCCATTGCAGTCTTATGGGGAGTGAACCAGCAGCTGGAAGATTTTCTCTAATCTTTCAAATAAAATATTTATTAAAAGAACTCAAATATGTGTTTGTTTGACCATTCCATAAAAAGTAAACAAGTACTAAGTGACAAATGGGAAAATCAGAGAATCTTCTAAGTGGTAAATAAAACTTCACAAACTATTTAATTTGGTCTTCTGGTAAGGAAGTTTTCTCAAGATAATTCCTATTCAAATATGACATAAGTCTGTCATCATAGTCAATCTATTATTGATGGTTTTATAAGACTTAGTCATAAAATTGTACTTAAACACTTGGCCTGTTCTGATGTCCAGGTACTGGACTCTGGCTGTCCACCTCCACTGTCACCTATTTTGCCGCCAGTCAGTTATTCAACAAATGTGTGCCAAGTGTTTAGCAAATGCCAGCATTGCGCTAGATATCTGGGTGAATATTCGCATAGGCCTTGCCTTCAAGAAGTTCATGGTCTAAGACCTGGGGTACTGTCCCAGAATTAGGTTGTTGATATCAGCATAATTTTATGTCTGCCAGCATAAGTTTAATCAAAAACATTGTAGGTAAAAGAAATCAGACAGGTGCTAGCTGTACCTACATGGGAAGTTACAGGTCTGTAGAATACAGAAGCTCTATAGAAAGAGAAACTTAGAAATTCTTAGATCTGTTACCCTGATTTGAAACTTGAGACCTATTTTTTTCACTGATCAGTTCTTTCATTCTACGAGGATGTGCTAATACCTTGGATGGAGCAACCCTTCTTGCTAATCAGCATGCACACACCCAGGGAAACTTCCTGTCTGTAGAAAAGGAGAGTGATGATGTTGTCAGCGTGTGAGTGTTCATGCACACATTTATGCATATGCGTGTAAATGCTTGTGCCAGGAAGAGAAGTTGGGGGAGGTGATGTGTGTGTGTTTTGTTACTTAGCTCACTTGATATTTATCCAGAGTTACTAATCAGTGTAAAATGTAGGTTCAGTCCCCAGGGGTGGTTGTTAGCTTCACACAGAGAGAAAATCTCTGTCCTATGACCATCGTTTGCACTTCCAGTCCCAAAATGCAATGAGAGAGAGCAAGTGACTCAATGGAATCAGTAGCATGACCAGAAAGCTCAGTCGTCTGATGGTAGATAAATATTATCATTATAAATAAGACAGAGGATAAATATTATCAGCATAAATAAAAGATAAATGCATATTAACATTATAAATAAAAATAAATTATAAATAAATAAATATTGTCAGGGCCAGCACTGTGGTGCCGAAGGTTAAAGCCCTGGCCTGCAGTGCCAACATCCCATATGGGTGTCAATTCAAGTCCCAGCTGCTCTACTTCCGACCCAGCTCCCTGCTAATGTGCCTGGGAAAGCAGTGGAGGATGGCTCAAGTGCTTGGGCCCCTGCACCCATGTGAGAAACCTAGAGGAAGCTCCTGGCTCCTGACTTCGGGTAGGCTCAGCTCAGCTCAGCTTTGACTGTTTTGACCATTTGAGGAGTAAACCAGCAGATGGAAGAGTCAGTCTCTCTCTCTCTCTCTCTCTCTCTCTCTCTCTCTCTTTTTCTCTTTCTGAAATTCTGTCTTTCAAAAACAAATCTTTAAAAATAAATAAATATTGTCATAAAGAAATTGGATCATTTAGGAGGAGGGGAGAAATCCTTAATTATAATAAGAAAAGTAAAAAACTTTTATGTGCATGTTTTCTTCTGCATTATTTTAATATGTTCTTTTTAAATGTAAGTACCTGTATAGAAAGTAGTGTTATTTAACCTTAAATAATATAATAATACGTGTGACTTCTAAGGAACAGGCTTTAGTTCCACTGAGGAACGAATGCAAATTCATGTGATGGTTCCACAAGGTTGCATTAGAATCCTCAATGATGTGCTCAGTTCACTTCACTGAGTGGTTTTGATGCTTCAGGTGAGATGCTTTCTGTTGTGTCAGTGAATTGACAGCAGATTGGGAGTGATGCCAGCGTGTAGGTTGCACGATCCTTTTGATTTTCAGCTCTGTTATGTTTTATCAAGTTACTGTTTAATCCCGATGCAGTACTTGGTTGTCCCACTACCTCCCATAAAATGAATACCCCAGCAGCTGGGGCCGGGGTGCTAGTCACATGCCAGAAAGAACCAATCTTACTTGAGGCCACTTCGTGGCTGCCTCAGAGTCTCAAAGTCTCAATGGGAGTTTTCGGTAAGGCTTTCTCGAAAGAATGTAGATGGGATTTGTCTCCAGTGGAAACTTAGAAGTCTCTTCTTCCTAGATTTTCCTTCTTCCCCTCCCCACGTGTTCCTGTTCCAAATTCCCACCCCTCAATTCAGAGGTCAGGGAGAGCCGCTGAATCTAACTTGGGAAAATGACAAATTACTTGCATTCTTCAAAGCAGGACATTTGCTATGATGATGGCCTGTTTTAACATAACTTTGATGCTGTGTTATTAGTTTGCATATTAATGCATGCAGTTTTTTTTAAATTGTGTACAACAGTAAACACCTTTATTGCCTGAGGTCGGACAGGAGGGAGGAGGACTGAACCTGCAGCTGGAAGTCCAGCCCATTGCCCTCTAGCATGCAGCCATCAGCGCCCGCACTCTGGTTCCAGGTCTTTTTTTATTATTATTTATTTATTTATTTATTTATTTATTATTTTTGACAGGCAGAGTGGACAGTGAGAGAGAGAGACAGAGAGAAAGGTCTTCCTTTTGCCATTGGTTCACCCTCCATTGGCCGCCGCAGCTGGCGCATTGTACTGATCCAAAGCCAGGAGCCAGGTGCTTCTCCTAGTCTCCCATGTGGGTGCAGGGCCCAAGCACTTGGGCCATCCTCCACTGCACTCCCAGGCCATAGCAGAGAGCTGGCCTGGAAGAGGGGCAACCGGGACAGAATCCAGCCCCCCAATCGGGACTAGAACCCAGTGTGCTGGCATCGCAAAGCCTATTGAGCTGCGGCGCCAGCCAGGTTCCAGGTCTTGCTGGGACACAAGCAAGCAGCCTGCCCTGCCAGAACCTCGCCTCCAGGAGACAGATGATTTTGCATCCCTTTTACTTTTCATTATCTATTTTAAAATTTTTCTTTGGGGCCGGCGCCGCGGCTCACTAGGCTAATCCTCCACCTTGCGGCGCCGGCACACCGGGTTCTAGTCCCGGTCGGGGCGCCGGAATCTGTCCCGGTTACCCCTCTTCCCAGGCCAGCTCTCTGCTATGGCCAGGGAGTGCAGTGGAGGATGGCCCAAGTGCTTGGGCCCTGCACCCCATGGGAGACCAGGAGAAGCACCTGGCTCCTGCCATCGGATCAGCGCGGTTCGCTGGCCGCAGCGCGCCAGCTGTGGCGGCCATTGGAGGGTGAACCAACACACAGGAAGACCTTTCTCTCAGTCTCTCTCTCTCTCTCTCACTGTCCACTCTGCCTCTTAGTAGTTTTTTTTGTCTGTTCTACTTAATATGACTGGTTTAATTCTGTAATTAATACACAATTATTCTTAAGTGTTGAAATTTAACTGAAATGTGATCCCTGTTAAACATAAGAGTAGGAATAAGAGAGGGAAGAGATGTACAATTTGGGACATGCTCAAGCTGACTTGCCCCAAATGGTAGAGTTAGAAACATACCAGGGGACTCCAATTTAATCCCATCAAGGTGGCATGTACCAATGCCATCTCACCAGTCCAAGTGATCAATTTCAGTTCACAATTGATCATAATGAAAGGACTAAGAGTCAAAGGAAGCACATAAACAAGTCTAGTACCTGCTAATACTAACCGATAGAATAAATAAAGGGGGGAGTGATCCAACATGGGAAGCGAGATACTCAGCAGACTCATAGAATGGTGGATGTCCTAAACAGCACTCTGGCCTCAGAATCAGCCCTAAAGGCATTCCGATCTGGCTGAAAAGCCCATGAGAGTATTTCAGGCATGGAAAGCCAAAACACTCTGGCAAAAAAAAAACAAAAACAAAAACAAAAAACAAAACAAAAAAAAAACCACACAACTAAATGAAAGATCTCTGTGAGTGAGATCCCAGTGGAAAGAACAGGTCTTCAAAGAAGGAGGTACCTTTCTCTGAAGGGAGGAGAGAACCTCCACTTTGAATATGACCTTGTCTAAACAAGATAAGAGTTGGTGAACTCAAAAGGCTTCCATAGCCTTGGAAACTCATGACTGGTGCATAGGGAGATTACTGATGCCATAAGCAGGAGTGTCAATTTGTAAAGTCAACAACAGGAGTCACTGTGCACTTACTCCTCATGTAGGATCTCTGTCCTTAATGTGCTGTGCATTGAGACTTAATGCTATAACGAGTACTCAAAAAATATATTTCACTTTGTGTTTCTATGGGGGTGCAAACTGTTGAAATCTTTACTTAATGTATACTAAACTGATCTTCTGTAAAAAAAAAAAAAAAAAAAGAAGAAGAAATTATCAATTCCCAACTTGATTCTCACTGGGATTAAACATGACAATAGGTCTGATCTGATTTCATCATCATTTAAAAAATCATCTATTATTTTTCACTTTATGTTTGTGTGGGAGCAAACTGTTGAAATCTTTACTTAATGTATGCTAAACTGATCTTCTGTATATAAAGAGAATCGAAAATGAATCCTCATGTGAATGTAAGGGGAGAGGGAGTGGGAAAGGGGAGGGTTGTGGGTGGGAGAGACGATATGGGGGGGAAGCCATTGTAATCCATAAGCCGTACTTTGGAAATTTATATTCATTAAATAAAAGTTAAAAAAAAATTTTCTTTGATCATGTTTTGTTTGTAATCTCTTCCTCCTCTTACTCCTGGGGAGTCAGCTTGGCTCCTGTCTTGTGTCCCAGGTGCGGTGCAGGTGGCATTCGTAACACCACGCTTAGAGGTGCTACCTAATGAGCTTGATGCAGTTCTCCCCCGGGTCTTGGTGCCGACCAACTGGTTACTCGATGCATTATAGACCATGTCGACCTTCCTTCAGCCCCAGGAGAAGTTCTGCCCATCCAGTCTCAGGGCACAGGACTGCTTGTCACCTCCCTGCACATGGACTGTGTGTCTGCAGCAGGGCCAGTCTTGGTGTTGGCAGTGGGATGTCCCAGCTCGTGCATGTTTCCCTCCCCACCGTTCCCCTCTCTTTTCTTCTCCCCTCTTCTTTCTTTCCATCTTTCTTTCATTCACTGTTTCTTTATTTTCATGTTCTTTGAAAGAGAGACAAAGAGACAGCGAGATTTTCTACCTGTTGGTTCAGTCCCCAAATGCCCACAACAGCCACACAGTTGAGCCAGACTAAACAAATCCTAGAAGCTGGAACTCCATCCAGGTCTCCTATGTGGATAGCAGGGACCCAAGAACTTAAGCCATCTGCTACCTCCTAGGGTGTGCATTAGCAGGAAGCTGGATCAGAGGCAGAGGAGCTGGGACTTGAACCAGGCCCTCTGATATGGGATGCAGTCTTCCCAAGCAGCATCTTAAACACTGAGCCGAAAGCTTACCCCTGTGCTTGTGTTTCTTGCGGTAGGGCTTTTGCCCCCAGTACTGCAGTACTTGTGCCAGTTGTTCTCAGATGCCCCTGGCACAAGGCTGGTTGGGTGTCGCTCCCCGTCTTCGTGGAGGAACGACACAGGACCCTGCGCTGTTCTTTCGTCTGCTCAGCCCTCCCCGGGTTTGCTGCTGGTTCTTCCCGGGTTGGCTACCGACCCTTCCACCTCCGTGGAAGGGCGGTTCCCCCTGCCACATTCCCCACTTCCGCGGGGGAGCGGCACACCGCCGGCCGGCTCTCTCGGGGGCTGCACAGGTGTTCCTCAGGTGTTCCTCTTAGATGTTCCTGGTGCATGCCGTCTCTCTCCTCCTTTATAGTCCTCCTCCGCCAATTCCAACTCGGCTGCCCACACGCCGAGTACGCTGCTCTCCTCCAATCAGGAGCAGGATCAGTTCCTGGAGGTCATCACTCAAGTTGGCAAGAGGCAGCTGCGTGGAAGCTGTTTTCTCCTCTCCCAGCGCCATATTGTGGGAGAGCAGATGCATAGAACAAGTCTTAATTCCAGTAACTCAGTCCAGTCCGGGTTGCTCCCCACAGTTGGGTTGGGAAGAACAATAGTATTTTATTAGATCACTAATAATTACAAAACCTTATTAATCAGAGGTGAGCAAGCACAGTGCATCTTGCTTTTTAACTTCTCTTTCTTCATCTGGCTGAAATTTCTAGGGAGTGAGGGCCAGGCATTTGGCCAAGTGGTTAAGACACAGGTTTGGATGCCCGCATCCCATATCTGAGGGTCTAGATTCTGTTCCTGACTCTGGCTCCTGACTCCAGCTTCCTGCGAATGCAGACCCCAAGAAGCAGCAGATGATGGCTCCAATGATTGGGTCTCTGTGACCCATGTGAGAGACCCAGATTCAGCTCCCAGATCCAAGCTCCCAGCTTTAGCCTGCCACAGCCTTGGCTGTGGTAGGCAGTTGAGAAGCAAACCAGCAAATAGAAGCACTCTTTCTCTCAAAAAAAAAAAAAAAAAAAGAGAGGACAGTGCTATGGTGCAGAGGTTTAAAGCTACAGCCTGCAGTGCCAACATCCCATATGGGTGCTGCCTTGAGTCCTGGCTGCTCCACTTCCAATCCAGCTCCCTGCTAATGCACCTGGGAAAGCAGCAGAAGATGGCCCAGGTGCTTGGGCCCCTGCACCCCATGTGGGAGGTCCAGAAGAAGCTCCTGGCTCCTGGCTCCTGGCTTCAGCCTGGCCCAGTGCCAGTTGTTGCAGCAATTTGGGTTGTGAACCAGCAGATGGAAGATCTCTCTCTGTCTCTGCTTCTCTCTCTCTCTGTAGCTCTGCCTTTCAAATAATAAATAAATCTTTTTTTCTAAAAAAGACTTAGAATACAAATACACTTAATTAAATTTGGCTACCTGTAGAATCTGCCATATACTTACAGAAATCTGTTTAGGTACTGTTCAAGTCCCAGTTGTTCCACTTCTAGTCTAGCTCCCTGCTAATGCACCTGGGAAGCTCCTGGCTCCTGGCCTCACCTGGCCCAGCTCTGATCATTGTGGCCATGTTGGGAGTGAACCAGCAGATGGATGATTCTCTCTCTCTGTCTCTCTCTCTCTGTCTCTTCATTTCTTTGGGAAACAGGATGCCACTTCTACTGAGTTAATTTTACAGTACAGAGGTTGGTTGGTTGATTGGTTGGTTGGTTTGTGCTTATTATGCCATGAAGTCACAGAGAATGGCTTCCAGAAGCTCAGGCTCCTTTCCCTGGGTTCTGACAAAGTGGGCTTCCCTGAGTGGAGCAGGCTAATGCTGCAGTTGAACCGAGATACTTTTCTTGTTGGCTTCCTTCTGGTTCTGATCATTTTCCTTTGCACGTTTCAGGAAGCTATCTTGGCTCTTAAAGTGCTTACCTTGCTCAGTAGGCACATTGATTCTCTTGGTAAGAATCTTGCCCTTCACTATTTGTTTCCAATAGTAATGACAGCATGCTGGGTCACACTGCAGTTCTGCCATGGTCACACTTACGGGCATTCCTTTTTGAAAGGTCCCCGTTCCCTTGATGTCTACAATGTCACCTTCCTTGTAAATGCACATGTGTATGCCCAACGGGACAACTCTGTGTTTTCAAAAAGGCCTGGAGAA